ATGTGTTTAACAATAAGGTCCGGTAAAATCAAAGAGGTGTTCCAATTAGAGTCATGATAACCATGAAGATTGAAGGTAGACAAAACCATGGAATTATGGCTACAACTGTAATCTTGAAGAAATGTAAAACTTTAAAAACAGTTATAAACCAAGAAAAGGAAAAAGCGAACAGGACTTATTTGACTTTTCAAATTGTTAAAAATTAAGTAGATATTTATAAAAGTTGAAAAAATAAAAGGATTAAATAAATGACCAAAGAATGAATTAAAGAAACAGATTTGACAGAAATCAAATAGAAGTTGTGAGAATGAAATTATGAAAAAATAACACTGGTAATTAAAACAGACCATGTACTTATTTCAAAGCAATAATTTAAAACGTTAGAAATGGGAAGAATTCTATTCTCATGAATTTGAATATCCAGGATAAATTAACTACCAAGAAAATCTAAACTGAAAATAAACATTCAGTCCTAAATAAGGAGAACAATCTGAGTAGTCTATTTTAATATATAAACTACATATCAGAGTCTGTCTCTGAAAGGGATTTGTGAGAGTTCTTCAACATGTTAAATCACTTATAGTTTCTCTGTAATGTAAATTCTTCTGGAGGAGAAAAATAAGCCTGTCCTCATGAGTTTCAACAATTTTCAGTGAGTATACGTGCAAAAATTATTAATACAATTTTAGCCATTTAGCTATTTATTTTGGCCACTTGGCCATCACATGTATGGTTAAATAATAACAGAACACTGTAAAGTGGAGTTTATTGTAATAATGAAAGGATGATTCAATACTGGGAAACCTATTACTTTCATTTAGTAATTTTACTGATTAATAAAATAGATCGCATCAATAGATCCTTGAAAAAATATTTTTAATTGATTTAATTCTTCAAAAATAATTTATAATCTTTAAAAATCATGTCAAGTGTGGTGGGGGGGGATAATTCTTGTTAATCAAGAAAATTTCAACAAACATATTTAGCAGGAAACAGATGTATTTCCACTAAAGGTAAGGATGAAAAAAAGGGGCTAACTAGGGCTGTTGCCATTCACCACCACACAGAATGCCTGAGTCCAGACCAAGACAAGAGAAAAAAGGAGAGAGAATACAAAAATGGAGTCAAAGAGTTGAAACTTTACTTATTCTCAGATGATAAGACTGAAAACTCAAAAAAGTAGGAGAATCTATTTTAACCATTAATGCTAATAAGAATATTTAAAAAGTGGGCAAAACTATTCCAAATTTACTGAAATGAATATCTCCTGTTTAGTGGCAATAATTCATAAACTAATTGAACACATGAAAATCAGCCTTTATTCACAACAGCAAAACATTATGACTCTCATGTGAAATAAAGTTGCAGTCCCACGTAAAGAAATTTATTGGGCACATAAAAATGACATGAATAAAGCCTGGCAAAACAAATCTTAGACTGGAGGACATAGTGACATCAACTCCAGTGACTGCAGACATTCAATGCAACCTAAACTTAAAAGTCACATGTGGTACTTCACTTAAAAAAATGAGAAGTAGCCTAAAAGACAATTTTGTATTTTAATTTTGGGTAAGGATACAACCAAAATGAGAAAGATGGAGACATGACAAATTTCATCTAAACCTATACGATTTCAAAATTTAAAATAGTCAAATATTCAAAACACAATATTAAATATAGTATCAGGACTGAGTGAAACATATTATTTTATCAGATAAAATAGGTCATGCCTTCCTAAGGAAAATAAAAAATCAAAGGGCATGAAGGAGTGAGTTTGTTTTCAATGCAAAAACATACCAAAGTGTGTGTGTATGATTAAACTACAACATAAAATCTCTCTAAAATATATCAAAAATAAGTAGAAAAATTCAATTTGCATACTTATATCTATAAAAAAATAAAATTTATTCAGTCTCACAAGTAATTTGTGAAATGGAAATAAATACAATGAATTGTCATTTTATCTAAATCTACAAAAAATATACATATAGTATTAAGTCCTGGTTAAAGGAGTAGGGAAACTTCACATGTTGGTGGTAGACAAGGATATCTATGCAGCTTTGGGGATGCATCTTGCTAGAATATATTACAATATGAAATGCGCTACTCCGTGACCCAGCAATCAAAACTCAACTTACCCAAAGTGGATGAACCCTCAGACATCTGCAGGGAAGTCAGTGTGCTAAGAGACAGCCAATGCAACATTCTTTACAAATCCATGAACATCAAGGTCTCCTTGGAATGGATGTGCTACGAAAAATTCACAAAACTTTCTACTGTTAGACATTTACGTTGATTCCATTTTTAAAAAGCAATTATGGAATAAAACACACTCCATAATGTTGATGAAATACCACCTTAATCTCTATGGTTATCAGTTTCTAAACGTTCCTTCTATCCCAAATCATTAATACTTTGAGGCCAGATCCACATTGATTTGCTTTGTTAAGCTTGAAATACATCATATAATCAGGTACAACAAATTTCCCCTCATCAATCTTCTTTTCCAGGAGTTGTCATATGATTTAATAACTCACTACTGATATGTGTAGTTTCTTTAATCCTGGTCTACAGAGATCTGGCAGCGCAACCAGATGTGGCCTCTAAATAATCCCTACTGTCCAACCTCACTGAGACAATGGGGCCCACTCCTCATTTCTAATCCATGTCAGGGTGTGAAGCCCTTCCCATACAACCCCACAAATGGAACTTCACCAGTTCTTTGTCACTGATTCACAGTACGATGGTATTGGTATGAAAATGGAAGGGGGTAAGGGAAGGCTATGGGTGAATTAGGAAACGTGTTAGCCAGGATACTTGAGAGTCAGAGATTAGTACATTCTACAAACACCATTCTAGGAAGGAAAGAACAGAACGATCAATGAATAACGACTTTTTCCAGTGAAAATACCATTCCTGTTTCTCATTTTCCTTCTCTGATCTTTCTTAGTCTTGGGAAGTCATTCCTGAGTATTAGGAATATGCCTTTCAGGGCTTCCAATCAACATGCCCCGTTCCATTACCACAGTCACACACACGGGACAGAACTCAACATGTGAAAAAGATAGTCTTCTGCTTTCCACAGAACCATCAGGGATTCCAGACAATAAATTCCTACAGCTTTCCTCATAATACCTTCTAGCCCTAGTGAAGCCCACATTCTACTCAGCAGTTGCATGTATATGAGCTGGGCTGACCCTTGCAGTCAGAGCTTACAGTCTCTGCTGGTACCTACTGAACACAAGGTCACCAGGTAAGAATGGGCAAGGCTTTTCCTTCCTCCATTTCCTGAGCTTCCCAGGTTCTCTTCTATCCCTGGATCCTGAATACTCAAGCTGCATTGCCCTTCCTTCTCCAAGCTCCCTTCCCAGAAGGAAGCGCCACCTCTTCAGTGGACAGATACCTTTTGTTCTATGCTTAAAGAATCTTGCTCTCCTTCCTATCCAGCTGCCTTGTATCAGTATGTGTGTGTTTTGGGTCAGGTGGAAAGGTGAACTGGAAAAGCTAGTAGAGAGTAACCAGCACTGGCCTCACAGGAATGACAAAGTCTGCATGAAAGAGTGGCAGAGTTTGCCCTTATCATCCCTGCCCCTAAAGATATCAGATCATATGTCATACTTCTGAGCAAAAGCAACTTGTCTTTCATGGTTTTAATCATATTCATTAAAAGTGTTTAATTTCTCTTTCCCAGAACATTAAACCAACAAAAATATGAAAATTTAAAGACCTAATTACTGGCACTGAAAAACATAAAGAAAGGTCAGCTTTGGTAATATAGGTGAGCAATTTATTCATTATGAACATATGGGATCTGCTGGAACTAAGTTGCAGGACAATCCAGCCCATCTTTTAACATTTGCAGAAAACGGGACCAAAAAACTTGAAAAGATCATATACTTAGTTGGAAACTTTAGCCCACAGCCTATCTAAAAGATCATATGAGGTAAGAAAGGAAGCTATTGAATATTAGACTTTTTAAATATCGTTTTGACTGTTAAGATAAAAAAAATCATCAATGCCCTTACCAAATACATGCTAAGTTAGTATAAAAGTATTTACTAAACAACAAAAAACATTTTCAATATATAATTAAGACTAGAGCAGTATTGAGGCATCATGATCTGAACCTGACACAATAAATCTAAAAAGTAAAATAAATTTGGGAATTAGAAAACCACCTAATGAATTAGGGAATTACCCTTCTGTTGCCCTCTGCTTCTGGTAGTCAAGGCCTCCTCCTTCTCTCTGCTGATCTCATTTTTCTCTATTTTCATTTATCCCACTGCTTCTTGTGCAGGTTACTCTCATTAACTCTTTTTTTCCACATTCCTCACACCCACCCACTTCCCGTCTTCTAAACTACCGTTCCTTTTTCTGTCTCGCTAACTGGCTCTGTCTTTTTTCTCCTCATCCTCCGCCCCACCTCGACATCCACAGGAATGTACTTGGGGACGGTAAACAGAGTCCGTGGGAGGAGACTGTGCAGGGACATGGGGTGTCACAGGACAGGGCCGGTCCTCTCTCTCAGCCCCCGGCTCAGGGGCTTCCCTGAGGCGGTGACCCCGAAGGGGAGGTCTGGGGAGCCGCAGAACGCAGCCCCAAGGGGCGACGGATGGGGAGGTGCCTCAGGGGAGGACTGGCGTCTGCAGAATCCAAGGACAGCCTGAGGGACCGAGAGGGGCGAGGCTGGGGGCGAAGAGCGACAGCCCATGTCCCGAGTGGGGACCAGACGCGGCGGGTGGACGGTAAAGAGGGCGGAAAGACCGTGCGAGGACCACCCCGAGGCGTTTTAACCGTAACCAGAATGGGACACAGACGCGGCCACAGCGGCGGCGCAAAAGGCTTCGCAGCGTCTCAGGGCGCCGCTGGACTCCCCGCCGGCGGAAGGGCGGATGCGGGGCCTGAGACATCTGCAGGGACTCCCGACACCAGGTGTGGAGGACCGGGCGGGGAGGGGGCAGCAGTGCAGAGTTCGACAATAGAGAGCAGAGCGCACTCACCAGAGTGGACCTCGGCTCCAGAGAATCGTTTCCGAGTCAACCGGAAACTGCGCGCGGAAGGGGGTGGGGCCTCAGACATACGGGTTCAGTCGGCGTGGGGCGGGGCCTCTGCCCGAGTGGCCGGGCCGCCGCGGAGCGGGGTTTCTGGCAAAGTAGCGGGGCCGTCGCGAGGCAGGGACTCGGACAGAGTGGCAGGCCGGACGCTGCGGGGCCTCTGGCAGAGCGGCAGGGTCCCGGCGGGGTGGGGCCAGGAGAGGCGGGGCCGAGTGTGGCCCAGTGAGGCGGGGCAGGGCCGGGCGCGGTGGGGTGACGCAGAACGGGTCGGGTAGGGCCTCCGGTGGAGGCGGGACAGGAGGGGTGGGGCCCAGAGGTGTGGGGAAGGGCGGCGGGCAGAGAGGCGGAACCGGGCGTGGTGCGTGGTCGGGGTGGGGTGGGGCCAGGCAGGGCCCCAGGCAGAGTGGCAGGGCGGGACGGTGCTGGGAGGGGAGGGGCTGCGAGAAGGGGGACATGGGGCAGAGTGGCGGGGCCGGGTGGAGTGGGTGGGGCTCTGAGGGGCGGGGCCTGAGGCGGAGCCTCAGGGGCAGGCGGGGCAAGGCGGAGCATGGCCTCCCGCAGAGCGGCAGGGGTGGGGTGGGGCCGGGCAGAGCGAGGCCTCAGGCGGAGAGGCTGAGCCGGTGGAGAGGAGCTGGGGCTCAGGCAGAGTGGCCACGCAGAGGGCTTTCCTGTCTCCAGACCTGAGGCCCCCAAGGGCAGGTGAGGCCTTCCAGTTTCCAGACCTGAAGCACCAAACATGAGTGAGGCCTTCCCATCCCCAGACCTGAGGCATGGAGGGCCCTGAGCCTGAGTGAGGTCTTCCTCTCCCCAGACCTGAGGCAGCAGGGCCAGTGAGGCCTTTGAGTTTCCAGGCCTGAGGCTCCAAGGGTGAGTGAGGCCTTGCCGTCCCGAGACCTGAGGTCTTCTCGGCAGACCTGAGCCCCAGACAGTGAGTGCGACTTTCCGCCCCAGCCCCGGAGGCACGGACTTCCTGTCGGGGGGAAGCCGGTTCTGAGGCCCAAGTGGGGCTCCATGTGGAAAGTTGGAAATGGGGAACCCACAGTTTCCACCACACCAAGGTACCCCACACTCAGGATGTGGCGGCCATGGGTGTAATGTACGTGCAGTGGCCTCTGCACGCTGATGTGACATCAGTCTCTTGTCTGGGCGCTTGGTTCCACTGCTGTGCTGAGCTGGCCTTGGTCACAGTCTCTGTTAGGAAGTTTCTTGTCGTCTCTGCTTCACTGACAGGGTGTTGATGTGGTTGCTTAAAGTACTCTTTGTCCTGCCTTCAGATTTCCCAGCATCATTGCTGTGTGATATTTGCTACTCCACACAAAGTACTACCGTGTATTTTACCCAAAGCAGTGACACTCTCCCAGGTGACCACCATTAGCCCCCAAATCAGGAAATACACCTTTCTACCTGACAGTCCAATCCACAGGCCCACTTCACTTCACTGCCTTCCCCAAATGGGAGAAAAATGTCTCTTTCCATTCGGGTCCAGTTTTCTTTTCTGGAACTATTCTTGAGACTATCCCTCAGTTTCTCAGCCTTGGCAGATCTAAAGAGCAGAGATGACTCAAGGTGGATGGGTCTTCCCAGTGTCTCCTCCTGAGCAGACGCAGAGCTTGCATTCCCAGCAGGAACACGCTCTGTTTATGCTGTGCTCTCTCAGTGCAGCCCACCAGGAGGAGCACAGATCCCCCACCCCCACTGGTGATCTCAACCTGATAATGGCAAAACACTGCTTTATAGACACAAATCTCATATGACTGTCATGATTTATAATTTGCCAGTGGTTTCCCACTGGCCTTGGGAAAAGAGCACAAGAGTGACCATGATCTCCAGACCCTGAGTGCTCATGCCTGCTGCCCTCTCCTGTGCAGTCTACCCCAACTGCCTGCAGTCTACTCTGCTCTCACTTTCGGGGTTACAGCAGGGTGTTGGGTGTCTCAGGGATTTTTATACTGGTTCCCTCAACCCATCCATCCAGTGCACGCTCTTACCAAATTTTTAAGACTTTGTCCAGCTAAATTGTTAAAGTCATGGCAGTTTTGATATCTAACAGTAGAAAAGTTCATAACATGATCTTTCAAAGGACAAAAAAATTTATTTTGTATATCATCTGTGAGAATCACACTCAGTTTATAAATCAAGGAAACTAGCTAAAAACAGAGCTCATATTTGGGATAATTAGTAAAGAAAAATGAAATCTCACTGCTAAATGAAAGGCAAATGGTACAATTGAGCATGGAAATTTCATAAGAATTTACTAAACTGAATATTACTTTGTTATATTCCCTAGCCGTGTGTGTGTGTGTGTGTGTGTGTGTGTGTGTGTGTACACCAGTTGCAAGGTATGTCACGTTTAAACATTTATGTTTACATCATCAGTCAATATAGTTAAGTGATAAAGTCCTGCTCCACACCATGACAATGTATATAAATATTTGAAAGCACCATTTAAAATTTCACCATCTTAGCCGTTTGTGAATATACAAGTCAATGGAATGTCATGCATTGGCAGTGTTGTGCAACCATCTGTTTAGTTCCAGAGCCTTTTTTTTTTTTTAATCTCTAAAGGAAACTCAAATCCATTAAGAAGTCACTTCCCCTTCCCGCTCCCCCTAACCCCTGGCAACCACCAATCTATTTTCTGTCTTTGTGGATTTGCCTGTTCTAGACAATCCATATAAATGGACTCATATATGCTTTTTTTGTGTCCAGTTTCTTTCACTTAGGATGTTTTCGAGGTACATCCATGTTGCAACATACATCAGTACTTCATTTCTTTTTTCTTTATAATTAAATACACACAACTTTCCCCATTTTAACCATTTTTAAGTGCACAGTTCGGTGCCCTTAACCACATTCACATTGTGTAAGCATCACCATCATCCACCAGAATTTCTTTCATCTTCCCCAATTGGAGCTCTGGAGTCATTAAACATCAATTTCCAATCCCCAGTCCCTGGAAACTATTCTGGATACCTCATAAATGGAAGAATATCATGTTTGTCTTTCTGTGCCTGGGTTGTTTCACTTTGCATGATGACTCAAGGTTTGTCCCTATTGTGGCATGTATCAGAACATCCTCATTTTTAAGTCTGAATAATATTTCATTGTATGGATGGATCACATTTTGTTTACCTACTCATCTATCGGTGGACACTTGTGTTGCTTCCACCTTTTGGTATTGTGAATAATGCTGCCGTGAACATGGGTGTTGAAGTCTCTGCTTTCAGTTCTTTTGAGTATATATCCAGAAGTGGAATTGCTTGTCTATAAATTAATTCTATGTTTAATTTTTGAGGCACTGTCATATCATGTTTCATAGCAGCTGTACCATTTTACTTTTTTCTTTTTTTGGCTGAACAATATATCAGGTTATGATATACCTCATTATGTTTATCCATCCATCTATTGATGGACATTTGGGTTGTTTCCACCTTTTGGCTGCTGTGAACAGAGCTGCTATAAATATTCATGTATGAGTTTTTGTTTGAAGACTTGTTTTCTAATCTTTGGGGTATATACCTTGGAATGGAATTGTTGAGACATGGGCATTCTATTTGTAATTTTTTAAGGAAAGATAAAAATATTTTACAGAAAGGCTGTACCATTTTGTATTTCCACAAGCAGTGTTTAAAGGTTTACAGTTTTAGGCCGGGCGTGGTGGCTCACGCCTGTAATCCTAGCACTCTGGGAGGTGGAGGCGGGCAGATTGTTTGAGCTCAGGAGTTCGAGACCAGCCTGAGCAAGAGCGAGACCCCGTCTCTACTAAAAATAGAAAGAAATTAATCGGACATGGTGGTGCATGCTTATAGCTACTCAGGAGGCTGAGGCAGGAGGATCACTTGAGCCCAGGAGTTTGAGGTTGCTGTGAGTTAGGCTGATGCCATGGCACTCTAGCCCAGGCAACAGAGTGAGACTCTGTCTCAAAAAAAAAAAAAAAAAAAGGTTTACAGTTTTTTTGCATCTGTGCCAACACTTATTTTTTTTTTAATTATAGGCTTTCTATTGCCTGTGAGTGGGTATTGCAAATATCATTGTGATTGTAAAGTGAATTTACAAAATAATAATGTGTACCATCTTATGGGCTTGTTGGCCATTTGCTTGTCTTTTTTCGTGAAGTGTGTATTTTAAGTTCTTCATTGGTTTTATAATTGGGTTGTTTGTCTTTTTCCTGTTGAGTCTTAAAAGTTCCATCTATATTGCGGATCATGGATCCTCATCAGATATATAACATACATCTGTGGGTTGTCATCTTACTTTCTTGGTGGTGTCTTTGCATTTCCAGAAGTTTTAAATTTTGAGGAAATGTTTTTCTTTACTTAAATTGTGCTTTTGGTGTCAGATCTAAGAAACCATTGTTAAATCCAAGATCAGGAAGATTTATGTCCATGTTTTTTTCTAGAGTTTATGTTTTTATTCTTACATTTAGGCCTTTGGACCATTTTTAGTTAAAATTTTCTGTGTGGTGTGATGTACGGGTACAATTTCATTCCTGTCATGCGGATAGTTGTGTAACATCACTTGTTGCATTTAATGATCTCAGGTCTTGTCCAAAATCAATTGACCATAGAGGCATGGATTTATTTCTGGACTCTTAGTTAAATTTCATTGATCTGTATGTGTATCCTCATGCCAGTATCATCCTGTTTTGATTGCTGTTGCTTTGTAGTAGGATTTAAGATTTAAAATTGGGAAGTGTGAACCTCTAAGTTTGTCTTTCTTTACAAGATTTTGGATATTTGCATTCCCTTGAAATTCCATTTGAATGTTAGGATCAGCTTGCCCGTTTCTGGCAAAAGTCCTTTTTGGATTTTTGTAGGAATTGCACTGAATTTGAGATCACTTGGTGTGGTATGGCCATCTTAAAACATATTAAGTCTCCAGTTCATGAACATGGAGTATCTTTATATTTATTTAGCTTTTCTTTAATTTTTTTTCAGTAATATTTTGTAATTTTCCACATACAGGTCTTACACCTAGGTTAATTTTTTTCCTAACTAGATTT